CCCGCTGGCGTGCCGAGCTGTCCGTGTGTCTGTCCCACTAACAGGGGATCCTGGCGCGGCTCCGGCCGCAGCCCGGCCCCAAAGCCTGCAGCGCCACGGCCCCGCTCTGCTCCTCTCTGCTTTAACCACGGCTCCCATCCGCACCCAGCCCCGCACCCAGCCCCGCACCCAGCCCCACACAGGGGAGGGGAGGGTGGGACCCCCAGCGCCCCAAAGATCCTATAGGGAGCCGGAGGGTGGGGTCTCCTAGAGATCCTACAGGGAGCCCAGAAGTTGGGTTCCCTTCAAGATCCTATAGGGAGCCGGAGGTTGGGGTCCCCTACAGATCCTATATGGTGCTGGAGGTTGGGGTACCCTAGAGATCCTATAGGGTGCTGGAGGTTGGGTTCCCCTACAGATCCTACAGGGAGCTGGAGGTTGGGGTCCCCTAGAGATCCTATAGGGTGCTGGAGGTTGGGTTCCCCTACAGATCCTACAGGGAGCTGGAGGTTGGGGTCCCCTAGAGATCCTATAGGTGCTGGAGGTTGGGGTCCCCCAATGCCCCAGAGATCCTATAGGGTTTTGTAGCGGTTCCCCAACGCCCCAGAGATCCTATAGGGTGCTGGAGGTTGGGTTCCCCTCGAGATCCTATAGGGAGCCGGAGGTTGGGTTCCCCTTGAGATCCTACAGGGAGCTGGAGGTTGGGGTCCCCCAACGCCCCAGAAATTCTATAGGGTTCTGTAGGTGTCCCCCAACGTCCCAGAGATCTTTTAGGATTCTGTAGGGGTTGCTCAACGCCCCAGAGGCCCTATGGAGTTCTGCAGGGGCTCCCCAACACCCCACAGATCCTATAGGGTTCTGCAGGGGCTCCCCAATGCCCCACAGATCCCATAGGGTTCTGCAGGGGCTCCCCAACACCCCAGAGATCCCATAGGGTTCTGCAGGGGCTCCCCAACGCCCCAGAGATCCCATAGGGTTCTGCAGGGGCTCCCCAACACCCCAGAGATCCCATAGGGTTCTGTAGGGGTTCCCCAACACCCCAGAGATTCCATAGGGTTCTGTAGGGGTTCCCCAACGCCCCAGAGATCCTATAGGGTTCTGTAGGGGCTCCCCAACACTCCAGAGATCCCATAGGGTTCTGTAGGGGTTCCCTAACACCCCGGAGATCCCATAGGGTTCTGTAGGGGTTCCCCAACACCCCACAGATCCCATAGGGTTCTGCAGGGGTTCCCCAACACCCCAGAGGTCCTATAGGGTTCTGTAGGGGCTCCCCAACCCCCCGAGATCCTCTGGGGTCACAGAAGGAAGGCGGGACGTGAGCTGTCCCCACAACAGGGGGGGCACTGCTGGGTCTCAGCGCACCCCCCGCCCCCCAATAATTTGTGCTGTGCCCATTGCAGTCAGCTCTGTTGGCCTCCACGGGGCTGCAGGGACCCCCAGCAGCTGTTGTGGGGCTGGCTGTTGTGGGGCTGGCTGTTGTGGGGCTGGCTGTTGTGGGGCTGCTGTTGGTGTTGGGTTGTGTCGGCTCACGGTGCGGTGTGGGGCTGGGCGGTGGCTGTGGGGGAGCATCGCGGGGTCTGGGGGCTTCTGGGGGTCCTGCCCTCCTGCCCACGCTGTCCTTGGGATCCACCTGCTTCTTCCTGGGGGTTTGGGATCCACCAGCTCCGTGCTGGAGGGATTGGGATCCAGCAGCTCCTCCATGGGGGATTGGGATCCACCAACACCTTTCTGGAGGGTTTGGGATCTACCAATTCCTCCATGGGTTGTTGGGATCACCAACTCCTTCCTGGAGGGATTGGGATCCACCAATTCCTCCATGGGTTGTTGGGATCCATCAACTCCTCCATGGAGATTGGGATCCACTAACACCTTTCTGGAGGCATTGGGATCCACCAACTCCTTCCTGGATGGATTGGGATCCACCAACTCCTCCATGGGCTGTTGGGATCCACCAACTCCTTCCTGGAGGGATTGGGATCCACCAACTCCTTCCTGGAGGGATTGGGATCCACCAACTTCTCCATGGGTTGTTGGGATCCACCAATTCCTCCTGGATGGATTGGGATCCTCCATCTCATCCTGGAGGGATCAGGATCCACCAACTCCTCCATGGGGGATCAGGATCCACCAACTCCTTCCTGGATGAATTGGGATCCACAATTTCCTCCATGGGGGATTGGGATCCACCACCTCCTCCTGAAGGGATTGGGATCCACCAACTCCTTCCCGGATGAGTTGGAATCCACCAACTCCTCCATGGGGGACTGGGATTGGGATCCACCAACTCCTCCTGAAGGGATTGGGATCCACCAACTCCTTCCTGGATGAATTGGGATCCACAATTTCCTCCATGAGGGACTGGGATCCACCAACTCCTTCCTGGATGGACTGGGATCCACCAACTCCTCCTGAAGGGATTGGGATCCACCAACTCCTTCCTGGATGGATCGGGATCCACCAACTCCTCCATGGGGGATTGGGATCCACCACCTCCTCCTGGATGGATCGGGATCCACCAACTCCTCCATGGGGGATTGGGATCCACCACCTCCTCCTGGATGGATCGGGATCCACCAACTCCTTCCTGGAGGGATTGGGATCCACCGACTCCTCCTGGATGGATCGGGATCCACCACCTCCTCCACGGGCTGTTGGGATCCATGCGCTTGCGCTGGTGGCGGGGCAGTGGGTGGGGGTCGGGGTGGGGGGCTGAGTGGGTGGGTGGGGGGGGGGGCTGGGGGCCGAGGCTGCCCCATAACGGCGCCGTCGCCCCACGCGCCGCAGGTGATCCGCAGGGGCTGGCTGACCATCAACAACATCAGCATCATGAAGGGCGGCTCCAAGGAGTACTGGTTCGTGCTCACGGCCGAGTCGCTCTCCTGGTACAAGGATGAGGAGGTGAGGCAGGGATCCCAGATCCCCTTTGTCACCCCTCTGAGATCCCAGATCCCCTTTGTCACCCCTTTGAGATCCCAAATCCCCTTTGTCACCCCTGGGATCCCTGTGCTGGAATCCCCTTTGTCACCTCTGGGATCCCAAATCCCCTTTGTCGCCCCTGGGATCTCTGTGCTGGAACCCCTTTGAGATCCCAAATCCCCTTTGTTACCCCTTTGAGATCCCAAAAGTCCTTTGTCACCCCTTTGAGATCCCAAAAGTCCTTTGTCACCCCTTTGAGATCCCTGTGGTGGAACCCCTTTGAGATCCTAAATCCCCTTTGTCACCCCTTTGAGATCCCAGATCCCCTTTGTCACCTCTGGGATCCCAGATCCCCTTTGTCACCTCTGGGATCCCTGTGCTGGAACCCCTTTGAGATCCCAAATCCCCTTTGTCACTCCTTTGAGATCCCAAATCCCCTTTGTTACCCCTTTGAGATCCCAAATCCCCTTTGTCACCTCTGGGATCCCTGTGCTGGAACCCCTTTGAGATCCCAAATCCCCTTTGTCACCCCTGGGATCCCTGTGCTGGAACCCCTTTAGGACCCCCATTTGATCCGTATTAACCCCCTTCAGGACTTGTCAGGACTCCATCTGTTACCTATTTGGGGGGGATCCCTTTAGTACCCCCATTTTATCCCTATTAAACCCCTTCAGGACTTGTCAGGACTCCATTTGTTCCATTTGGGGGCGGATCCCTTTAGGACCCCCATTTTATCCTATTAAACTTCTTTAGAACTTGTCAGGGCTCCATTTGTCACCCATCTGGGGGGGGATCCCTTTAGGACCCCCAGTTTTATCCCTATTAAACCTTTTTGGGATTTCTCAGGACTCCATCTGTCACCCATTTTTGGCGATCCCTTTAGGACCCCCAATTTTATCCTATTAAACCTTTTCAGGATTTCTCAGGACTCCACCTGTCACCCATTTTTGGTGATCCCTTTAGGACCCCCATTTTATCCTATTAAACCTTTTTGGGATTTCTCAGGACTCCATTTGTCACCCATTTTTGGTGATCCCTTTAGGACCCCCATTTTATCCCTATTAAACCTTTTTGGGATTTCTCAGGACTCCACCTGTCACCCATTTTTGGCGATCCCTTTAGGCACCCCCATTCCGTTCCCCCTGGAACCCTTTTGGGATCCCATTGGGATCCTTTTGGAGCCCCTGCGGGGGGGGGGGATCCCCTTGTGACCCCACTAACGAAGTTCCCCCCCAGGAGAAGGAGAAGAAATACATGCTGCCGTTGGACAACCTGAAGATCCGGGACGTGGAGAAGGGCTTCATGTCCAACAAGCACGTCTTCGCCATCTTCAACACGGAGCAGCGGTGCGTGGGGGTCCCGGGGGGGGGTGGGTGGGGGTCCCTCTTGTGTCCCATGGGCTCCCCCCGTTCTTAGGGTCCCCCGTTTGTGGTGGGAGCCCTCCGTGCTTTCAGGCACTGCCATGTTTTGGGGAGGGGGCTTTGGTTTCTGAGGGTGGAGATGGCAGAGGCCAGCCTTGCTTTCTTTGCACCAAACCAGGCCTTCCTGCCCCGTTGTGGGGCTTCCTTGCTCTCTGTGGGGCTTCCTTGCTCTCTGTGGGGTTCCCTCGCTCTCTATAGGATTTTCTCCTCCACTGTGGGGTTTTCTCCTCCACTGTGGGGTTTTCTCCTCCACTGTGGGGTTTTCTCCTCCACTGTGGGGTTTTCTCCTCCACTGTGGGGTTTTCTCCTCCATTGTGGGGTTCCTTCCCCTATTGCGGGGTTCCTTCACCTCCTTTTGGGTTCCCTCCTCCATCATGGGGTTCCCTCGCTCTCTATAGGGTTTCCTTCTCCATTGTGGGGTTCCTTCCCCTATTGCGGGGTTCCTTCACCTCCTTTTGGGTTCCCTCCTCCACCATGGAGTTTCCTTGCTCTCTGTGGGATTCCCTCACCCCCTATGGGGTTTCCTCCCCCACTGTGGGGTTTCCTCCCCCACTGTGGGGTTCCCTCACCCCCTATGAGGTTCCTTCCCCTACTGTGGGGTTCCTTCACCTCCTTTTGGGTTCCCTCCTGCACCATGGGGTTCCCTTGCTCTCTGTGGGGTTCCCTACCCTATTCTGAAGTTCCCTCACCCCCTATGGGGTTTTTTCCCTCATAGTGGGGTTCCCTCACCCCCTATAGGGTTTCCTCCCCCATTGAGGGGTTCCTTCCCCCTACTGTGAAGTTCCTTCCCCCTACTGTGGGGTTCCTTCCCCTATTGCGGGGTTCCTTCACCTCCTTTTGGGTTCCCTCCTCCACCGTGGGGTTCCCTTGCTCTCTGTGGGGTTCCCTCACCCCCTATGGGGTTTCCTCCCCCATTGTGGGGTTTCCTCACCCCCTATGGGGTTTCCTCCCCCACTGTGGGCTTCCCTCACCCCCTATGAGGTTCCTTCCCCCAATGTGGGGTTCCCTCACCCCCTATAGGG